CCCGATCACAATCAGCAAGAATATAATAGACAAACTCAGAATGAAAAAGATACATATCACAAATAGAATATCATCCAAGACATAAAAAATACGGGTCAACATGCCCTTATACAAAATCTGAACAAAAGAATACTGGAGAAAATAAAATACAATGATCAAGCAGAAAAGGAAATGCTACAAAAGCAAACTGAAAGAAATAACTAAGCTCAGTTCTTCTTCTGCTCTGTCTACATGGCACTTCTGTTGAGAATCCTCTGGCTCCTGCTAAACCTGTTCTTCTCCTAAGTCTGACGTACACCAGAGAAAACAGGTGTACGTCAGGTGCATGACGCACGGCAAGACCCGACCCCACAAAGAAAATAGAACGAACGGAAATCCAATGCGAAAAACGATACGATAACAGAAACAACAAAAGAACGTACAATTGAAATCCACAAATCAACATAAAAACACTACTAAATCATGATAACATAAAGCATCCATAATCGATCAGGTAACAACATCATGTAGCTAGCGATCAGTCTAATCATCCAAGTCACAAGGTCATACAACTAGATGGAATTAATACTTAAAAATCTACAACTCGAGACGTAGTACGTCGAGCGAAATAATCCAAACAAGAAAACCCTTATGTATATACCGTATGTCTCAAATTATAGATAATTAAATATTAATCCCGATCTATGTATGAAAAGAAACACAACTGGCCTACATCTCATAAGAATCCAAAAATCATCTAAATAACGAGGTCATGTAACTAACCATTCTATAACAGGTCGCTGGTCACATCTCACACAGAGTCAACATTCATATTACCGGATAACTGACTGTTCATAAATCCTCTACGTGTATCCAATACCGCTACACGAATCGGTTAGAGGACTACACGCAATCCGATTTCGGTCTGATCCAAACTCAAGCAGAACTCGGGTGACTACACAAACTCACTGACTAAAGTGACTACACAAATTCACTTTAGCCCAACAAACCAACCCCAGTGACTACACGAATTCACTGGCGCGAGCCTGGAAGATACATCAACAGTCTTATCCGATCACATGAACACTGACTTCCCCATCCCAACTCTTCTCGTTTTTCTAGGTCAACCATAATCCTCATTGAAACTCGGGTTCACCACCTAACCCAGTCAACTAACTCACACATGTCACTAAGTCTGTTCATGACACACGAGGCCACTAAGTCATAAACTACTAATGGTTCTCAATCACAGCAAATAATAACAAAACAACTGATCATGTACAATAATATCATGGCAAATCAGGTAATCGAAATTAAGAGTCATAAATTTATGAACAACCAAATATGTAATTTAGAAAAAATAATCTTTTTCCAAAATAATTTATTTTAAATTATTGTAGTCTTCCTAAAATGATTCCTTTTACAAAATAAATTCTTTTAAAACATCATAATTTCAAATATAATTCTTTTGACGGAAATAACTTAACAACTCAAGATGACCCCTTTTCCGAAATAAATACTTTAAAATTATCTATTCTAATAATTATTCAAAACCAACCCATTTTTCTAATTAATCCTTTTCTCATCATAATAATTCTAAAAATAATCTTTAAATATATTTTTCTTTTAAAAACATCTCAAATAACCACTTTTACACAAAATACTTATTTCTTTAAATTACTTATCTAACATCATTATCAATATGATCATCAACAAGCCCACACAGTTAATAACAATTCACAATCTAATCTATGCAACTAATTAATGACAGATATAAAAAGGAAATGACGAGTCAAGAGGAGCGGGATTTTGCCTCGGGGCCAAGGGGCCTGATGATGAAGCGGTAATGTCGTTGCAGATGGGGTACGACGGGTCTGAGCGGGGTAGTCAACGGTGTATCTGAAGTGGGCGGAGCTCGAGGAGGAGGTCGACGAGGGCGCGGACGGTGTGGTCTCGAGGTCGGGCAGCGAAGGAGGAATGACAGTG